ATGTATTGTGGGAGTGAGTTCCAGAGAGTGAGGGCAGCTGCAGCGAAGGCTTAGTTCCCCAAGGTTCAGCACTTTGTTATGATGGGAGTGAGGAGGTTGGAAGCGGCGGGAGGGAAGCTGGTGATGGAGGAGGTCAGTGAGGTATGAGGGGTATGGAGGGACTTGCAGGTGATGAGGAGAACCTTGTATTGTATGCGGTATGGGACGAAGAGCCAGTGGAGTCGTTTGAGGATGGGGGTGATGTGGTCTCTGGAGAGGGTGTGAGTGAGCGGGCAAGATGGGCAATAGATAATGCCCAAATAATGTTTGTTTCTGTGTATTCCATATTCTATGACCTTCACATTCCTATTTTTTAAAGACAATGTCTGAAGCATTTCTGTGACATTAAAGTAAACGCCTAATTGCTTTCATTTCTCCGTCCTTTGTAAATTTCTCCTATGTGAGATAAATAAAGCAAATCTTATCTTATCTTTCCCAGCCTGTTCAAAGCTTCTTAGACCGTCAGATGTGTGTGTGTGTGTGTGTGTGTGTGTGAGTGTGTGTATGTGTGCGTGTGTATGTGTTGCTACATGTGGAAATTCGGTATCCAAGGTTTCATCTTTGTTCCAATTCCAACTATTCTGCATGATCCCAATTACTGTTTTCTCTTGACTCGCTTTGCTATTATTATTCTTAGACTGAAGCGTTCGTTTGCAGCGAAGTGAAGACATCTGACGGTTTTTTGGTATAGGCATAGGGTATGGACTCTTATAGTTTCACTGCACTTATTCTCAAGTGTAATAGACTGATATATCTTATTCTTTCAGCACTGCTTGCTGGCAGGTGTCTCCAAAAACACACTACCAGCTGTCAATTTCATTTGAATGTGTTTACTACTAAATCATATCCTCATCGAGTTCATTGTTACTTTTTAGTAAGTAAGTAATCAATATTTATATAGTGCATTTAACTCGATCTTTACATTCAGGCCTATTGTACATGTTTATGTAAGTATGACCGCATCCAGGACTTCAAACAAGTACTTGTAAACCTCAATTCACATCAAGGGGCCATTGAGTCACAGAGAATTACTCAAGCGGAGCGCATTCTTGCTCTGAAATGCATGTACATGTTCTGTAACCGACTCTGCCAATTTCTCCATCGTTGCATTCCAACCTTCCAATCCATTTAGACACAATGTTACAGACAATCCTAGAGTACAGTAGCTACCTTTTTCCTCAAAGCAACAGGGCATATACCATTCCCATCCTCCTCACTACTGCTCCATCCCCTCATATTATCCCTCTTGGGCTTCACTTGAAAACACCCCTCCCTCTCATTCCGCCTTAAGCCCCTCTATTCTCCCATCCACCATTCCGTATAGTCTCCTGCCTGTTCTTCACATTTCTCTCAGGACATGAACCTCACACATGGCTTATTGATTTCAGAAGCGGCACATTGGATGTATATGGCCAGCTCCAGTCTTGTATTGCACCCACACATCTTCCCGAGGAGGATTAAAAAATGTGGACAGCCCCTCATATGTATATCTGTAAGTTTTAATACTTGGCAGTGCTGCGATGCATAGTTCGTTTGCAGAAACTGATTAGAGTATGGTTGTAGGCAAAGGGGGGAGAGGAAAAAAAAGCAAGGGAATTGTGCCTGTAGATGGCAGAAGAGTGCTGCAAAGGGAGCATGAGTGAGAGGATTTCAAACACATCCACAAGAACTAACCAGCAGAGATTTAGCACCAGCAAAGGTATTTTTTCTAAGAAGAGTTTAGTGTCTTTTTTAACTAAAATAAGAACAATTGCCGATGCAAAGTGCAGAATGGTGCTATTATACATGCATTTTAAATAACTACAACAGTAAAGTAGATCTAAAGAGCTTTCTTGAATGAATAATGCACTCTAAACCGCTGTGGGTGTCATTAAAGGTGCTATATACGTCGTGCTGCCGTACTTCCCCACTAAAGTTTTCAATATGTCCTCCCAAGATATTAGGTATTATACAGGTTAGTCTTGATATATTCATATACAGTAGATGCCTGGGAAAAGAAAGCAGTGATCAGGCATCAAAAAGGACATGTTTTGCCACAGTGGTATTTTCTAATGGGTATTTTTCTCATATTACCATCCATACATGCTGCTTTATTCGTTACCGAGTCGCAGGAGTCTGAGCAGAGTGGCCCAAACTTCCCTACACCCAAACATACTACCTTCAGCTCATCTGGGGGAATACCACGGCGTTCCCAGGCCAGCAGAGAGACATTGTCCCTCCAACATTTCCTGCAGGGAGGCAACCAAGAGGCATCAGAAACAAATGCCCGAGCTACTTTATGTGGCTCCTCTCAATGTGGAGAAGCAGCGGCTCTACTCTGAGCTCCTCCCATATCTTTAAGGAGAGTGCCCAGCTTACATAAGTAATTATCAACTTAATACAGAATTTACTCAATATAGGATATTTTCATATTTTAAGTTCTTTTAACTTTCTAAGTACGCATGTCTGGTGAGTAAGTTTAACCTGAGATAAATTGATTTTATTTATTCCCTGGATTGATCACCAGTATAATGTTTGGCCCTCTGCTTCATCTGGGTTTTATATGGCTCTCGGTGAAGGCCACACCTGACAATGATCATTAAGAAAATCAATGCTCAGTGTGCCATGCATCTTCAAGCAGAAAAGCAAAAGAGCTTCTCAGAGTGGTCCAAAGAAATCAGTAATGAGTAATGTTAACTACATACAATAAAAATATATATATTGGTCCATTAATTTTCAAGTTCCATTTCAGCCTGTAACATCATGAATATACAGTACATTGCAATTTGAGGAATGTGAAACATGTTCCAACGATTGGAAATTTAACTGGAAAATCCCAGTTTAAAGGGGCTTACTACATTTGATAAAGGATTGATTCCAATATAATTGTTGTAAGGCTGGAGATAAGATTGGATTTAACAAGCGGCTTTGATGGTCTGTGCAACGGATACGAGGGCCCCCGTATGGATCTGCTCCAAAATCTAATGGGTTTGTCCTTGTCCTAATTTTATGAAAATCAATGCAGTGGTGTACTATGGAATTTTCTTGATGGATACTGGGGGTAGTAGCTTCAAAGAGGAGCGTAGCCTTTGCAGTGATAAATTATAATGACCAATATGGACTATACTGGGTCACATGTGTAAATGCATTTGTATTGATGTAATGATTGCTGTCATGGTAACAGATGTGGTTGTGTTATCAGAATGTCTTTGATTTGCTATTTCTCATTATTCTTTACTTTTTCCTACTTTCATTCTACCTGGCAACTCTGATCTCTCTTACCCAAGTGGCCTTAGGATCAAGGCCGGTGCATAATCTCCAGTCTGAGCACATGCCCATTCACAACCTTGGAGGAAACCACAAGGCGTACAGGCAAGGCAATGGATGACTGGAGATGGCGCCCATGCTGCAGCCTCCTCGAGGGTTAAATTAAAAATGGATGGATGTGAAATATGGGTAACCAGAAACAATGTGAAAACACTTAACGACTGCCATGGATTTCTATTTAAAATGGGATCGGTGGCGGTAATGGTGCTTGACCAGTTCACGTTGTTTGATCTGGAATGTATAGAACCTGTATTTATGAATTATTGGTCTAGAAAATACTTCTAGGCTACAGCATCAGACTTTCTCAAGATGGTACTCACTTTCGGATTCTATTGGGAAATGGACTCAAATTAAGCTTGGGAAATGGTTTGTGTAGATGCGTGCAATTGAGTAGACTCTCAGAGAACAAGTCAGAGTCCGGTTTGGAAAGAAAGATACAAGTCCACGGGCTAACATGGCACTGAGGTCATGGCATCGTAGCAAGAGCTCTGATGTGTACTCTGGTGCACACTGGGGTATTCTTGCACAGTTATTCCAATGTGGTTTTACTGAAAATGGCTAAAAAAAACTGAATCAGTGCGAATCTGAATGGCTTTGATTAACCAGTATGTAGCCTCTCATATCTCTCTCATACTTTCCCAAATACGTGAGTCATAATATACCCGTTGACCAATTCTACATTTCGTTTGATAAACTTTTGGCAGCCGTCCACATAGTCCCCTTGTGCAGTGTAGGCTGGTGCGTGCAGATCTATTCTCGTTTCCTTTTCAATTCCAGAACATTGTTGAATAGAATGAAGACATCATCGCCAATGACTAAAGAACATCGTGCCCGCAGTCTCCAATTCTCCACTGTACGACTATTTCTGACCAGAACGCGTCTGAAAGGGGAGCGGGAGTTATATACGAGCAGTTCTTGAACGCAGCATCTCTTAACCGGCGGGGAGAAGGCACAGACGCACCACAGCGTTTGAGAGAGCTGGACCAGGAGGGATGATAGACGTCTCCGCTAGTTTCTGACAACGAGGGGATTGTTATTTTTTTTATTATTTCATTTCTCTTTCAGACATTGGCACCTAGAACAGACTATTCTATTGCCTGACGGAACAGAAGGGAAGGAACCCGGACTTCGCCTTTGTACATTCTTACTGAAAAAAGTCTATAGGATGGTGGTGCTGAAGTGGACAGCAAAGACGTGAACCCGGCTGAAGACATTTAGACAGGGGGAAGAGACTGCGAGCCCTGGGAAGCATTGAGGACACCGTGCCAGCGCGGTAGACAGAATGGGCTCCAAAAGAAGGGGTGCTTTGAGAACGGAGCGAGGACGCAGATCGGAGGAAGTGCGATTTTGATGCTTTCCCCCCCGACACACAAGGGAAAACAGAGGGAGAAGAAGAAACGACAACCTGTTTTCACACGTCTTTTCACATTTCTCCATATGGGATGTTGACATGAAGGAATTACCCAGTCTATGTTAAAGGTGGAGGCTGGAATTTGGAGGATTTAAAAAAAAGAGAGAGAAAAAAGAAACGTGCGTCTTTTTTTGCTTCTCTCCCCTCGCTCTCTGCCTTTCTATCTATCTCTCCTTCCCTATTTTTTTTTTTTTTTTTGACTTGTCTTTTTGAATCCAACATTGTTTTGTGGATGTGAGGCAGCATGCGGCCCGGTGAGAGCTTGGACGGCTCATCACGCACGGCTCACGGATCATGCGTTAGCGCCAATCGGAGTATGAAGAGGGACCCTGCCAGCGCGGACCACAGGGGCATGACGGGGCACCATCGGGGGACGGCAAGGCTGCGAGCTTTACTGTGGAGTCTCGTCCTGTGCTGTCTATCTACTCCTTCGCAAGGTAACGCAGACATATACGCATAGAGCTATCAGTGTGTGTGCGTGTGCGTGTGCGTGTGTGTGTGTGTGCGTAAAGGCAATGTGATGCGTAAAAAGATTCCCCCGTCGCCGCAGCAACGTCAAAAAGATCACCCAAAAAAATAAATAAATAAAACATTTGTTGCATGCTGTCTTGCGGGGAATTACAACACGTTAGAGAATAATTACTAAAAATGATCAGTTTTGGTGTCGTGGTCTCTTCACAGCCATATACTTTCTTCCCCTCTTTCCTCCCTCTCTCCATCTTCTCAATACAGCCATTGAGCCGGTAGCCAATAAATATTCTTGCGGTAGCTCTTGGGCTGTGGCAGTAAACGTGAGCTGCTTATACCAAAGAAGTGAGAGACAGAGTGTGCTCATCTCCCATACGGGACCTCATTACTGGCTACCAAGCAGGCCCTATCAAAAATCTATAGGCTACATCTCTCCAAATCTGCATCATCAATCTTATTCAAATCGTTATGTAACAGTGTTGTATTTCTATTTATCCTCCTTTTTGAAATTTCTCACCCATAGCTTCTATTGTATTCCAAGTGAAACAAGGATGTAAAAGTGTTTTAAAATGTCCAGTCATTATGAAAAGACTATGGCATAGACAACTTTCTTGTCAAAGCAAATCACTGGAGCTGTTTAGTCAGGCTCTGCTGCATCAGGTGTGGCCACTGTGCAATAGAGAAAGCAGGCATTTATCACAGGGGAATTAAGTGAGACGAGAAACCACAGCGGATGACGTAGAACGCAGAGGATTACTGAAGCAAAAGGGTTACCGAATCCTCAAAGCAGACAAGAGAGGTAAAGTTATATAGCTGGCGTATGAGGCATATCTCGAGCGAGGCACACGGCAATGTCTTCAAGCAACCGTGCGTAGAGCTGTTTCTTTTCCAGGGGATAAACTAGTAGGACATGATTCGGTATGGCTTGATTGAAAAGTAAGGCTGAAGGCAACAGAAGCCTTCAAAGACTTGTAAGGTTATTTGCAGGCATTTGTCATTGTCACGGTAAAGTCTACATGATCCCTGTGTGATAGGAGATCATGTTGTTGTTGGCTGACTGGGCAGAAACAACTATAGATTCACACCGCGATTGAACAGGTTAAGGACAGGTGATTAATGATCGGTCGTAAACTTTAGAATGACACCTTTTCTGACTGTTTTAAACCTTATTGGCGGCAACTACATCTTTGCTTATCTGTATTAGTCTGGGTTATGTTTTTAAGCCTCAGTGGATTTGCATGAGAGCACCAATATCTTATTCTTTGAACCAACCTTGAACTTTTTATTTCCAAAAGCTACAGGGAAAAAAACAGTTCGCAAAACAAGCAAATGAAATTCCCCACTGTGAAAAAGTTGAAATGGTAAATACATGTGTGATTAAATGTCCCTTTTATGCATGTGGGCGTTTTGGGGACCACTTTATTTTAAAAGAATGTCTGGAAAATTAAACCCCTCCGCAGGCCATACTCTGCTCTATTTTGGCCACTGCTACTAAATTAGTCTTCTCTACTGGCCATTGGCAGGTAACCAATCATTACGGAGCCTGGGAATGCTCCTCTGAAAAGCAATCTAGAAGGAAAAGTAATGAAATAACCACTAATGGATTTTGTTGTTGGTTAAAACAACAAAAAAATCTCTCATATTTTCTCATCTCGTTGACATATAGTGCCTAATGTCAACTCCAGCTTTGTGGCTCTCGTCCTCGCTGTGCTTTTTGAAGTGAGGAGACTGTGTTCCACTGGTCTTTGTTCAGGGAAAATGAGGGCGGGGACCATTTCAGAGAGTTGTTATTTGTACCAGACTGTCTTTGAACCAAATTGATATCATGTCATTTACTCCGAAAATATTTCTGGTGTGTTTGGTAGGATGGATGATGGAGATTGTGGACTAGTTTCGACCCAAATCAAGGAATTTGTGAATCTGGTTTTGGGGCTGGGCAAACTTGCAAACACACTACACAAAACCATTCCATTTGAAATTGTGCGACATTTTGAGCTCACTTTTTTGATGGTCACTTATTTAACACAAGCAGCCTACACTGGTCTCATCTTGAACATCTATAAGTCAAATGGGTAGAGTCCATTTCAGTGGAGCTTGGAGACACGGCATGATTCAATCACCTGTGTCGACGAACAAGATTGATTCGGACAAAAACGAATTGGAAAATGTGAAAAGTCAGTTATCATGGAGATCTCGCTGCCACCTGCTTGAAGGACAGTTTTCCCGTGCACCTGTTCCAACACTATTACCACAACAAGAATAATCTCCTAAAGGAAGCGAGACAAACCGCTGATAAGGCACTTCTAAATGAAATGTTTGGCAGATTTGTAGAGTCTCTGGGCCCCTCCACACCGCACACAAGTTTGAAGGAGGAGGCTAGCGTGATTATGATGTCTAAAAGTTCAAGGAGGAAAAGGCTAGGATTACAGGTTTACATGGGGAGTACAGCTGTCAGTAGCCAGTAATGTGAAGGTCACGTCTCTCCAAATGGAACACTGTTTTACATTTTTGCTTTTGTATAAATGAGTTGTAATTAGACCCTGTTTATGCAGATGTATTCTGACTGCTTCTTAATTCTTGATCAGCGATTACAAGTATGAGGCTGTTTTGGGATTTATAGACCAATGTTCGGGACAATTTTATGGATGCTTGCTTGTGATACTTGGTACATTTCGTCTGTATCTCCGTAACTTACTTTCGTCTGCTTACACTTATGCCTCTTAGGTTGATTTTTTTCTACCAAACTAAGTGTTGGGTTGCACGATGATATAGAGGTAAGATTCTTGCTCCTGTCTGGAGTTTGCTTGTCCTCCCTGTTCCTGTGAAGAGGTTTACCCTTTTACCAAAAACATGTACAATAGAAATGGATGTTGTGAGTGAACAGTTGAGGGTCAAGGCCAACAGAGGCTTTCGCCTTCTGTCTACAGGCCTCTCCATTTCCATCACAGTGAATTAAAAAACACTACATGTGACCAATGTGACTGAAAGTACAGGTTATGGGCTCAGTAATAGACAAGTATATACTACATCTATTTCACAACATAATATATTATCATTGTGCTATAATCAATTTAGCAACAGACCGTTTCATGAAATGTATCAGATCAGGAGTTACGTAAATCATCTGGGCAACAAATTGGAACTCTTTTATTGATAAGATTTGCTCTGACCAGTCGATTAACCCGCTTGGCAAAAAATAGTACATTTAATTTGTATTGACAATCCCATGTAAATGTAAGGCTTTGTTCACACAACATGCTCAAATTGAAATTTATCAGTTATCCCTTGGTGGCGCCTGGTAATTTAATGGCCGGTCATCATGGTTAAATTGAACTGGCTGTCACGGCGCTCTGAAATGCTCCTCCAACCCTGGCTTTTTTATAACCCATCTCTCGATATCAGATTGATTGCCGCCGTCAAGAACTTGAAGGTACTGATTATAAGTCATTGACCGACGAGCACCATTAATATATCAGTGCTAATCTTTTACCAGCTTTAGTTACTGCTTGGGAGAGTTCTGGTAATCATTTTGAGCTGTCTCGTATTGATCGGGATAGCATGTTTAAAAGCATACATCTGCAGGGTACGAGAAAGGTGTGAGAAACAGGCCCATACATTAGGATTATTGGTCCCCCACGCTGTGAAGCACCAGTCACATAGAACATTATAGTGCATCCCTGGCTTCGCTCACACTTTTAATCCTGTGGCTTATTGCTGCCTCCTCGCTGAGAGACGTGTCTGAAGCAGGCAGCCTCTTGATCATTCGGGGGAAAAAAGTTGGTCGGAGCGGGACTCAGCAGTCTGTGTGTGTTTTGTGGGTTGGGGTAAGCTTTCGCGGTGAACCGAGGGCTGACTAAGGGATCAAGGGTTGACATGAGGCAGAGATGATATTACGCAGAAGTTACAGCGGTTTGGAGAAATGTGCCTCCCGCTGGGCATTTTCAAAGTGGCGTTTGTTGGAAGATTTACCTGCACGGCTCAGGACTAATGATTATAGCTGGTTGCTTCATTGGTTATTCATTCTCCCAATAGACTTCTTAATACATTTCTGGCCATTTCAGCAAACGTGTTTTTTTGTGTGCAAATGCTTGGATGGGAATAACCCAAATCAAGGTTTCCCCATTTAGATTATTGGTATCAAAGTCAAGGCCCGGGGACCAGATCCGGCCCGCAAATGAATTATCTTGGACCCCTGGATAATATTTGGTTAGTATTAGAACCGGCCCACACAGAGCCATACAAAAATATTGGAGTATGTATTTGTTTTGGCCATCCTTTTGTCTGTCAGCCTGTAGAAAAATGTTAGAAAAATTACTGACACAGCCATACTTATTGGCTTATTCTTCATCAAAAATATGGTATACAGGTTATATGCATCATTTTTTTTTGGCTTCTGATGTATTTGACTTGTACATCCCTGATTTTTATGATCCAGGCCAATAACTCCAACCACAAGAGGCCAGTGTAATCTAAAGGAACAAGTCAGTAGATTATCAGAGATTGCTAAATATCTGTAAGGCAAGGCAAGAGAAGTTTATTTGTAGAGCACTATTCATACACAAGGCAACTCAAAGTTCTGAACAAAATAAGATAGCATTAAAATAATAATTAATCACAGTACATTAAAAAGAATGATATAAAAACATATACAATTGTTCGGTTGTATTCACAGCTAAACAGTACTGTTTTTAACCTGGTTTTAAGCATTGTCAGAGAAGAGGCCTGTCTCACACTTTCTGTAAGATTGCTCCAAATTTTAGCAGCATGAATCTGGAATATAGGTAGCAAATCCCACGTTTGGTAAACTGATTTGGGAAGACAACAGTGGACGGTTGATTACGATGAAATACACGATGCGTCTTAGATTGTTGCATACTTTTAATTCTTCCTCACACATCACTGTGAACTTTATGCTAAAGCCCAGTGGCCTTCACTGGCAGTGAGGAGGTACACACACTGGATGCTGTTGGTGTACAAAGCTCTTCTTGGGTTGGTTCCTGTCTATCTGTGCTCCCTCCTTCAGAGAACCAGGAGCCTGTACAGTTTACGTTCCAATGATTTTTACTTCCTGAATGTTCCACGTGTCCGGACGGAGCTGGGAAAGCAGGCATTTAGTTATTCTGCTCCCGCTGCATGGAACAGTCTGCAGTCAGAACTGAAGTGGTCCAAATTGTTCTCGCTAAACGCATTTTGTTCACTTGTATTTAAAAAACAACTCTCAACCATTGCCAAGTGCTCATGCTTTTAAACTTTAACTTGTCTTATTGTTGCCTTTAGTTTTTTTGGATGATGTAAATGTTTTGTAATTTCACTGTTTGTATTTGGTTGTATTATTGTATTGTTTTATTGTTGTTCTGTAAAGTGCCCTTGACGTGTGCTACAGACCTCTTGGCCAGGACTCCCTTGAAAAAGAGATCTCGATCTCAGTGGCTATTTTACTGGTTAAATAAAGGTTAAGAAGAAAAAAAAAGAATTGGGAAAATGAGTGCAACTTTTGAGGAATGGTCTACTTTAGCGCCGATCGTGCATGCTCTCCATACATACTGCATGTGGAGTAATGCGAGTCTCATTTCCAGTTCTTTTGACAGCTTTAGTTACACGGATGGTGGATGTATGTTTTCTGTGGGAGTGCAGAACCAGAGTGGTGTAGAATGATCCCGTCTATTGTTGGGCGGAGTGGGATCACATGACCATCTTTACGGATCAGTTAAGTCAAGTCGACCAACTCCCCCCTGAGACTCTCCGTGTGTCACTGTTACCATCTATCGCACGCATTATATTTTAAAATGTGTAAATACTTGTGTAAATCTTGCTTTTCGCATTCATGGCCTCTGTATGATTTGTCACCGCGGTCCTTTATCTCCCCGGCTTCATCTCCTGTTTGTTTTGCATGCTCCACTTTCCTGCCTCCCTCTTGACTTTCATTCATAATCCTCTGTTTTCTATCATTCCTATTCATATTTCTTCTTACATTGAAATTCATTCCGCCCCTTCTCCTTCTTGACATTTTCTATTTGCGTCACTGGGAAAATCAGCAGCATTTAATCCAAAAAGGAAACACTGATTGGTCAATTTGATTAAAAACGAGATTCTCCTAAGATTAAAATGTTGGTTACAAATCAGTAGTTTATCTTTAAGGGTTTTCTTGTGAACTGAGGCTTGAACTAAGATATGGTGACTTGGTTGTGGGCGGCATGGCAGCGCAGTGGTTAGGGCTTGTAGCGAAAGAAGGTCCTAGGTTGGCTTCCAACTCCACGCCATTCTGTGTGGAGTTTGCAAGTTCTTCCCGCGTCTGCTCCAGTTTCCTCCAGGTGCTCCGGTTTCCCCTACCACTTAAAACATGTATGATATTTCCCCAAAACACCTTCCCCGATCCCACTCCCTGGTTAAATAAAGGTTACTTTGACTATGCCGTTCATAGAATTTTTATCCTTTTTTGGATATCTCATGACACTCAATGACACAGGGTCAACAGTTGCTCAGTTGGTAGAGCATTGGCCTTTGAGACTGAAGGTTGTGGGTTCGAGCTCACCACAAGACTCTCTGCACCGACTCTCACTGATGTCTGCTATCGTTGTGTCCTTGGCAAGACACTTAACCTCTGGGAACACCAGGTGCCACAGTGGGGCGGCTGCGGCTGTAAAGTACCAAACTGCCGTTGTGTGCTTAGGCAAGACACTTCACCCCCATTGCCTAGAATGAGTCTGGTGTGTGAGTGAATGGTTGGTGGTGGTCGGAGAGGCCGATGGCACAGACTGGTTGCCTCGCTTCTGTCAGTGTGCCCCAGGGCAGCTGTGGCTACTATACTAGTTTGTCACCACCGTGTTTGGAGTGAAAGAATAATGACATGTGAAGCGTCTTTGAGTGTCCAAAGAGCGCTAAATGAAACCG